AGTGACCTCAGCAAAGATGTCGGAGTATATCCGGGTGACGGAGGATGAGAACGACGAGCCCATCGAGATCCCCTCGGAGGATGACGGCACCGTGCTGCTGTCAACGGTGACCGCCCAGTTCCCCGGGGCGTGCGGGCTGCGCTACCGCAACCCGGTGTCGCAGTGCATGAGGGGGGTCCGGCTGGTGGAAGGCATCCTGCATGCGCCCGAGGCCGGCTGGGGAAACCTCGTCTATGTTGTCAATTATCCCAAAGGTTTGTCTTCCTTCCCTCGGCTTTTCTTTTACAAGTTTGCCTTTTCAGTCAAGAGTTCGGTGGGTGGGAGTCGCTGCTAATTTAACATGGCAACAATATTACTGTTGAATCTTCTGAGCTAGAAAAAAAAAGGGGGCCTGACAACCCTGTCCTACCCTCCTCCTAAAAAAAAATAAAACAAAACAAAAATGGAGTAAATTGCTAATGAAGTGTTCTTGTTAAAAATTCCCATTTCCTCCACATCCTTACAGGACTGTGGATGTAACTGGATAATACTTTAGAAAACGAGCACAGAGCTCACTCACTCAGACTGCATTTTGAAGGAAGAATTATGCTTAGACTGTTCTTCCTTCTCTCCTCATACTTGCAGGCAGTTGGATGTGTATTCTGATGCTAAACTCCCAGCAGCTGGAACATGGCTTTTGTAGTCCTTTTTCTCGTTGTAGTCTATGATTTTGTACTGTGCTGTGTCTGATCAGTGGAAGCAGTTCCCAGAGTTGAGGGTGCTGGCTAACCTACTTCTTCCTGTTCAGATAATAAGAGAAAAATGGATGAAACGGATGCATCGTCAGCTGTGAAAGTGAAACGAGCAGTGCAGAAGACTTCAGATTTAATAGTCCTGGGTCTCCCCTGGAAAACCACTGAACAAGACTTGAAGGAGTATTTCAGTACATTTGGAGAAGTCCTGATGGTGCAGGTAAAATCCTTTTGCAGCTCAAGTAAGGGGGGATGTTGAGTAGAAATCAGCCCTCTGACAAAGCCCCCGAACCAAACAGGGCTGGGTGAACCCGGAGATGTGAAGCTGTGAGTCTCTTCCTTGGCTGTGTTCTGTTGCATGAGTGTTTCAGAGCAGCAGCTCACGCAGACCAGTTTCATTTACAGCTCTGTTACTGGTTGTTGAGGGTGAACGGGTGCCTGTGTCCGTGTGTGTTACAGAGCTGCAGGTGGCTGTGTGTGTGTGTGGCACCAGCTGCTCTGTGCCAGGGTCGTGTCTGTGTGGGCACTGCCCGTGCCGGGTGCTCGGTCGGCGGCACCGCGGGGTGATGGGTGGGGCTGCCTCAACCTCCACGGCCCGAGGGGCCCCGCCAGGCACGCGGGCTCTCTGAGGGCAGAAGTGACAAGACAGACCTGCTCTTTGGTTTCCTCTGTCCTTGTGGGCGATGCTGTTGCCCTCCCAGAAGGGGATCGGGGTACACCTGGCTCACCCCTGACCTCCTGTTGGTTGTGTGCCTCCTGTGTGCAGCTACACGTGTTTGCCCCATCACTGCTCACACTGTGCAGCTGCTCCAGCTATGTCATCACGGCCATTTTTATAAGAAAAGGCAGCCACATACAGTGAGAGAATTGAAACTTTAGAAGTCTTTTTTTTTCCCCCCTTAGGTTAAGAAGGATATTAAAACTGGCCACTCGAAAGGCTTTGGTTTTGTTCGGTTTACGGATTATGAAACCCAGGTGAAAGTCATGTCTCAGCGGCACATGATAGACGGAAGATGGTGTGACTGTAAACTTCCCAATTCTAAGGTACTTCCATGTTTATTGGTAGTTTTACCAAACATTCAGAGCGTGCTTTTAGCGACTGTGTCAGGTAAGCAGATGAACAGACCAGTAATCTGCTCTTGGATGTGCTTTAGTCCATGAATGGGCAGGACAAGGGAGAGAGGGAAGGAAAATACGGAGAAGATGAGAGCAGGAAGGGAACAAGTGCTGGGAGAAGAGCTGGTTATATGAGGGAATTGAGTACAGGTGGAAATATGAAAATAATGTGTTTTAATGTCCAGCAGTACATACTTAACTTGTCTGGAGAATAAAGCAGGAGGAAGAGCTAAGCTGGGGAAGGTCAGAATGAGTCCATTTGCATTCCAAATGGAACCTTGGCACTTCTGTCTCCTTTCTATGTGTACATACACAGTTAATACACTAAAAAGCCTCCTGTAGCAGTGGCCTCGTCACTGTCCTCATGAATTGCTCCCATCTTCACTTTCCTGTGACTCCTCTCCACCTGTGCCAGGGTGCAGGCATGTTCTCTGAAAAAACTTTTTTGAGTCTTTTCACTTACAATCTCAGACTTTCTTGATCTCAGTCCTCAGAACAGGCTAGACCAAAGAGGGCTGTCTCATAATGGAATTCCGTTCTCAAGAACAGTCTTTTTTTTTTTTTTTTTTAATGATTTTTTCTTCATTTTCTTCAACTCTCTCCAGCAAAGTCCTGACGAGCCTTTGCGCAGCAGAAAAGTGTTTGTTGGGCGCTGCACTGAGGACATGACGGCAGATGAGCTCCGGCAGTTCTTTGCCCAGTATGGAGAAGTGGTAGATGTCTTCATTCCTAAACCCTTCCGGGCTTTTGCTTTTGTTACATTTGCAGATGATCAGGTACGTCTTAAAGTATTTTAACTTCCTATTTAGATTTAGCCAGCCTACATTTCAGTAGCTCGATAAAGTGGTTCTGGTATACACACAGAACACGTACGTGACTTGTCCACTGTGTTGAGGATTCCAGGGGCATTAGCTTGATTTGCTGTGTTGAATTGTCTAAGGTGACACTCTCCAGACGCTGTTGTACAGGCAGGTTTTGTGCTGCAGATAGTGTCGTAGGGAAGATGAAGATAAAATTGGATTAAGTATATGCGTATGCTTCCTTTGCAGGTTAAATATCTGCTCAGAGTGATGAGGGATTTTGTTTGTCTTGTACTGCTAACGTTTAAAAAGCGGAAGTCTAACGTACATTTAATCAATCCCTTATTTCTTATAGGTTGCCCAGTCTCTTTGTGGAGAGGACTTGATCATTAAAGGAATCAGCGTACATATATCCAATGCTGAACCTAAGCACAATAGCAATAGGCAGTTAGAGAGAGGCGGAAGGTTTGGCGGTAATCCGGGAGGCTTTGGGAACCAAGGGGGGTTTGGCAACAGCAGAGGAGGCGGGGGAGGCCTGGGTAACAACCAGGGCAGCAACATGGGCGGGGGGATGAAC